TAAGGCCGCGGAGGAGAAATTAAAGCGAGGTGGCACCTTTGATGTTTACGTCTCGCGGCAGTTTGCGACACGTAGGGCCAGCGCGGGCGCGGCTTACGCCTTACGACTTACTCGCGCACACGACTCCTGCAACGTGTTAAAATCCAGAGGTGTGCTCGCACGCCTGCGAGCCGCACAATCGTGAAAAACGTGCCGCCCGCCCGCGTAAATTGCACGCCGCACGCCGCTACTACCAACCGACGGTTCGCTAGACGACCCACCGGACGAGATTTCCGAGATTTCGTTTTGCTATGCGGCAAAACGGGGCCTTATTATTTCAATGCGTGTGTTTGCGCACGCACGCGCTTAGATGATCGCGCTATATCGTATCTTCGCCGCGGTGAAGAAACGATGAAAATATATAATTTTCACTCTGTGAAATTATCTCTCCCCGTGTCTCCCCCGATCTCCCGTTGTACATTACGGACGAGATGCATGTCTTTATAAATATACTCCCTCTCTCTCAGGGACTATTACGACGGAGGAAAACGGAGATTTAAATTACAAAGCGATATGCATATAAATTTTAAACACGTTTAGTAATTTTTTTCCCCCAAGCGTTTCCCTGGCTATACCTACAGAAGTGTAAGCGAACTCTTCGCGATGAGAAGAGAAAAAGACCTCGAAAAAGAACTTACGAAATATTCCGCGGTTAATGTAAATCTCGCATGCGAGGTAATAAATTAAACTTAATTAAGAGTGCCGAGGTATTACCAAGAATCCTCCTTTGGTGACTCCAAAAATTCTGGAACACGTACCCACCATAGTCGCATTGAAAGAGAAAATATTTTTACTCGGAATTATTTTCCGAGTTCCCCCTCTCTTTTATCGCGAAAGATAAATATGGAAAACCCGTCCTTAAGACGAGAAGAATCAACAGAATTTCGGAGGAAAAAAATGTCTAAAGTGAATAAGGTTTCTCCCGTCTTTCTTTCTTTCTCTTTCTCTCTCTCTCTCTCTCTCTTTCTTTCTCTCCCCTTCTTGCTTTCTCCGCATTCGACCGCAGTGCTCTGTGCGAGAACGCGCGCGTCTCGCCGCATGTTGACGCATGTCCCTCCTCCTCGCCCCACCATCCTCGTCCCTCCGATCCTCGTCCCTCCGATCCTCTCTCTTCCGTTGGCATCGCGCTCGAGCGTAGGAGCCACGTCGTCTGGGAGTACGGGTGTCAAGGGCGGCAGCGGACCCTAGAAGGTGTCTGCTGGGGTTGGCTCCGCGGGTGCACACACAATCGATATAGCCAACTAAAGTTCATGGTGCGTCAGCCGCCGCGCCAACCGCCACCCAGTGTCGTTGTCGTTGCCGTTGCTGCCCTGTCTTCCCCTGCTTTCTTTTGGGAAGGCGACCTCCTTTTTCCTTCTGTAAGAATGTTCCGCGTGTCGTTACGTGCCGCAACTCATCGGTATTCGAGAACCTTTTTTTTTCAATACTAAAATAGTTTTTAAACGTTTTTCTCTCTTTTTTTCCTTTTCTTTCAACAAATGATATTCCTAAATTCTGACAAGCCTTTATTTCGTAACCCGATTACCGATTACTTTATTACTAGCCAAACGAATCATCGCGATACATATCGACACATTTCCCAATTTTCATGTTTTTCCTTCTGAGAGGAGAACCGTCCCAATCACCACTGTTTCGCAACAGTGTTCGTCTCGTATAAATATAGATCGGTCGGATGTATCGAATTTGGGAAGGATGACATTTTTCAACCAGGGTTTTTTCACGAATTCAAGGAGGATGTCATAAAGGCTCGGTTTTTATTAAACGGTAAATATAGATAGATATTAATGATACGCTAATTTCACTTGCTGATTATATCTGAAATGTAGAAATTATAATATAGTCGACATATTTCTCGTGAATATTGTCAGTACGAAAAGCTGACTGTAATAAATATACCTTTTAATTTTTGCCAAGCCTCTCGTGCGCGGAAGGGAAACCTTTGGAGGAGCCGCTCATGTTTCGTTCGAATTTCAAACTGTCCGCAAATCTTTTTTTTTGTGTCGGGGCGCGCAACAGGAGCGCAATATCCGAGTGATGAGGTGTAACCATAAAGAGGCGAACCCTCGTAAAAGGTATCACGCCGAAAACAACGTGCCGGCGAGGTTGAAAGCCGATCTTTTTAAAGGACTATCGTAAAAGTACGCGCAGTTTCTAGATAAATGAAGCTTTCATACATATGCTAATCTACGGATTAATTACGCGTGAAAGATAGAGAGGGGTAATATTTATCATGACTTGATCTTTCCCGCGCAATTTATTTAATGTCGACGCACGGGAATATTTCACGTTATCTTGTTGCACATTGACGATACGACAAACGCAGTTTCTGATGATTCATTGCCCTCTTGATAATTTTTTAAATTTATAATGTCAAATAATTTATGATTATTTTTATTTATTGATAACTTGATAAAAAAAACACTAGGAAAGCCATTGCGATTTACCTTTTATATGAAGTCCTTTGAGAATACGTTTTTCAAGCACTAAATTATAAGAGACTTTTATACACGCGATGTAGTGCGTAGTTTTAATATAAAACTTTTACGTTTTAAACGTTTTTCGCGACGGATATATTGTTCCGCATTATTAAAGATGAAGTGACAAAAAAAATGGCATTACCGCGCATATTTCTTGCTCATTATTCACTAGATCATAACTCATCCCAAATTCTGATAGTTTTCGGATTTAATATGGAAGTAAAATACAATAAAAAAATGTAGAATAAAGTATAAAATATAATTTTTTTTTAAGAAACATAAGATATCATTAAATCTATTTATCTCGTTGCTCTGCTTTTGAATTTATTTACAATACGTTTACAATTCGCATATCAATATTTATACATTGATTATTATTGTATTTAATTTTGTAAATTATATCGCGAATACAGTGTAATGTGTTCTGTTGCTCACTTTTCACGATGATGTTACAAATCTTGATCATTTTTACAATGATCTTTTACCTGAAACGGCGCGATCATACAGTCGTTTAATTAATACGCCGTTTTATAAATTATCGCGGATGGCATATCTTATAATTACTTCAGATAAAGCGATATACGATCGGTGTGAATGCGACTTGTCTAAGCTCTCAGGGCTTCCTTTAATGATTCAGGAGGCACTTAAATTAATTGGCCTTCTAATGTTAGGAATCAAGGGAAGTTAAACGATATAAAGAGGCAACACACGGTAATAATAAACAAGAAAAATTAGTGATGACGTGTTATCAGCGTCTATCTACCTTGATGCGGGTTGAGAAAATTCTGCGATTCTTTCGATGCTTTTTAATTATAATTTTTAATTATAATTAAAATTATCGCTATACATGTCCGCACTATACTTCCGACACTATAGTTTTTCGAACGATGAAGCACAAAACTGCAATAAACGCAAGAAATATTACAAATTTTTACAAATTGCCCCTTCTCTCTTGATATCCCTTTGGTACAATCGACAAGAGACGATTTCAATTTGTTGTATAAGGAGAAATATTACTTCCTCTTTAATTCTCTCTAATTCTCAAGTACATTTTCAAGTCTGTATTTGAAATCGCAAAATGCAACATACGTAACATTAGCTCTAGATATTTACTGTGTATACGTGTAGGCACGGGATTTACGATCTGGCTGTAATACAAGGTAATATACAAGAGGCGATAAATATTGTCAAAGTAAAGTGCGCGATTAACGTCGGGGAGTAATGCAAAGCGACGTGAGATTATCCTGTATGGTGTGATTAGCCGCGTGATTATAATTAATAGCGTTTTCGCGAGTGTTAGATTAGCAAATGCAATAGTGGAATCTGAGCTTCAACAACGACGAAGCAACCATATAAAGTGAGTAAATTATTGTTTCTTGTTAATATTAATAATGGAGATTTTCCTGAAGTTATATAGATCACTTTCGTTAGATCACTTAATATGTACTTGATGAAAACAGATATTAAATAGTGGATGTCAAATAATTTATTTGTTAAAAAATGTAAAGGTTATTAAGTATATTTATTTTTAAGTAAGTAAACCGGTTTTATTTTTCTACCTTTTGTAACATATGTTTATTTATTGACAACTTGATTTCGACTGGTGGTGAAATGTTTAATATGATATTCAGTAATTTATTCGTCACATGTATAATATTGTATTTCACAATAATTGTAATTTAATATCTGAATAAAAGAGGATTTCACACGAGAGCGATTGTTTCCCACAATTGGCTGAGTATATTTTTAGTTGATCTCTATAATCAAAAGATAAATATTGTCTCTTCTTCATTGACTCTACTTTAATATAGAAGACTTTTTATTCTAATATTTATTTAGTATGTTTTTTTTATACGGGATTTATATGACGATTATATATAAATGAAAGCCTGAGTGTCCCGTTTTATAGCTGCTGCATTTGTTTGAACAAATCGGAGCGGGACTATCGTTGCCAGTAAATTAATTATTTTTACTACTATTAATAGTAGTATGTCGTTACCAGTAAATTAATTATTTTTACTACTATTAATTACTAGTAGTATGTTTCCTTTTAATTACTTACTTATATTTCCTTTTAATCCTTTTAATAATACAGTAAATTAATTACTATTTCAGCCTATTTTTCTCCTTTATCTATTTGTTACTATGGCCAATGTTACTGACTTCTTTTTAAATAGCTTTATTTTTTATTATTTTTTGACATTATCCGACAGAGTTTTAATTTTCTTTCAAATAATTTTAAAATTCTTAATGCTCGAAAGAATATTGAGCTACGCATAAAATATTCAGAAATAAACAGATTTTGTATTATTAATATATATATCTATAAACAGGAATCATCTTACTTATTTCATAGTTCTTTAAATCAACAGTGAAAAGTGAAAGTCTTTTTATACAGAAAATTTTTTTCTTATCCCTATTTAAAAAAAAATTTTGTCTCTGCATTCTAAGAGGAATAATGAGGAAATTAAAACATAGAATATATAGAATTTTTATATATTTCATCTATTTCATATATATCTATATCATATATTTCATTTTATTATTCTGTATTCTATATACTTTAAGAACTTTTACGAATCTTTTTTTTCATCATTTCTTCACATCATCTGTCTGACCAGTTTCAGTTTTGGCATTGCGCATTGAAAAATCTTTAAGAATTTCTCATGTGTACCTTCTTTGGCATCCTCTACAAAAAAGAAAGAATTAAACTTTATTTTGTTGCACTAATGAATTAAATGCATATTGCATTATTTTGCGTGCGTATGAGATTATTAAAATTGATTACCTTGTTCTTTGCATTGCAGTAAGGCCTTTGTTATTTCATTTAGTTTATTCGTGTCATGAACGACTTTCTTAAAGTAAGCTATGCCTTCATTCCAACGTATTGTACCATCTTCGTTGACCTAGAATTGAAAAGTATGTAATTAAATGTAATTAAATGAAAATTAAAAAACCACAATTTATATTTAATACACTATATAGTGCTTAGTATATAACAATTAAATTTGTTGACATACCATTTATTTTTCAACTCAAAAATATTAAATTATGTGTTTGATAATTATCTGTTCAATACATATTTCTTTGTTTTGAAGATTTATTTATAGGAATTTAAGTCGTGTTAAAATTTAAATAAAAATTTTATTTATGAGTTTCTCTCTCCTCTCTCTCTCTCTCTCTCTCTCTCTCTCTCTCTTTCACCCCCTCTCTCTTTCTGTTATATATATTTCTACATATATTTACTTACAAAGTTTAGTTTTTTTGCCATACAGAAAGAAACCTCGGGTTTGGTCAGATCTGCAAGATATGAATTATAGGTTTCTGATAACACAGTTCCAAAGAAAGTAGTATATACGTAATTCTTGGAGAGTTTCCCAAAGTAATATTGATTCGCAAAATATGAATATTTGAAGTATTTCTCTCTTCTTTTCTCATATACAGACATACACAAACAAATACATACTCTCTTTTTCATAGAAAAATAAATTCGATTACCGATAATTGAATATACATATAATAAACTAATATAATATGTAATAATGCAGACTTTTTTATAATAATGTTATATAACGTATAAAATAATTTAAAATATGCTATATAAAAGACATACTAGTACATTTTTATATATTATTTTTTAATGCATAATAATAAATTATTTAATGAGATAAAAAATAATAACGTGAGTAAAACGTGAGTTGTACTGCAAGAAAGAATTCCAATTTAAAATATTATAAAATTATTATTATTATAAATTAAAAAGGATTTAAATATCTTATGTTATTTTATTAAACATAAAGTTTAATTTTAAAATAAATTTTACAATAAACTTTAATAATGTATTTTGTAAATGATAGATAACATAAGATTTGTATATCTAATATTAACAAAATATTTTATAATTATTTGTTACTTAATTAAGATACTAACGTGATTCACCAAGTTTCGTGGTACATTCTACAAATGCTTCATAATAGTTAATTAATTCTTTCATATCAAAGGTCTCAGATTTTACATTATTGGACATCTGTGCGTCATGTGCTGTCTGAAATCAACAAAGAGTTGACTACTTAAGTTATCACCTTTAAAATTATTACCTTTATATTATATTAATTATTACCTTTATATTACTATATTAATGTCCTTTTAATTATTTTATTTAATTAAAATAATTTTATTAAATTAGTTTTACTTCATTTTATTTAAAAAATTAAATATTTTATATTTATTATAATAAGTTTGAAATGTTTTAAGTTTGACAAAATATATATTATTCCGCACACGATTTTGCTTACAAAGTAAAATTATTCTTATAATAATTTCTTTGTTATACATTTTTATTTCATACTTATACCTATATTTTTAATTTATAAGTAAAAATATTTATATCTACATTTGTCAAGAAATTCGAATAGGATTTTATTTTAATTATGTTTTTATTGAAGAGCTTAGAGACTAATATTTTAATTTTGGATTTTTAAAACTTAAATATATAAATTCAAATAATTTTTGAAGTATGTAATTTAAATTGGATACTCACACAAATAGGATTGAAAAAATTATTTAAGGAATAATTGAATTTCTTCGGTACAAATCAGAAAGAAAATTATTTGTTACGAATTATCAGTACAACGATGACCAGCATACATGCGATGAATACTAAAGTCTTCATTTTACTTTTTTGAAGTGTAAAACAACAATTCGTACGCTTGCTGTAATATTCTGAGATTGTACTGACATACTGACATTTTGGATATATATATATATATGCGCAGACTTAATATTATCACACAAATTATACAATGTAAAATTATCATGTATTAATTATATATTGTTTAATATGTATAAACAAGTGTGCTAATCTTAAAACTATCGCAACATTCGGTATATATTTTATGAACAAGTGTGCTATTTTTTTTATCTCACAGAGTTAATACAACATTTCCTTTGCTGTTGGTTATAATTATTTTTACAAGAGTGACGTCTGATGTTTATCGAAAATAACCAATATGGTAGATTTATTTTTAAATACTTTTTCAAGGGAAATCGCAATTGTGTCAGATCAGTGGTCACTAGTGTAGTGTCTTATTTACAGCGCTTTGAAAGCGTATTACTGTAAAAGAAAAAAAAAGGGGGGGGGAGGGAAAAAGCATGGCGGTGCCGTGTGACGGAGTGGGAGGAGACGCTTGCGAGCGGAGATGCGACGCGGATAAGGCTTAAGGCTTAACTAAATCCAGGCTTACCCGCCATGATAGATCACGTATTCATTGCTGCGCCAGATAAATCGCGGGCGCAGGCCTCGCACCTCTTCTACGGCCCTGGTACCTGCGGTACCGAAAATAATTAACGACCTTCTTACATCATCCGCTCTAAGAGCCTCGCTCGATTCCACTTGGGTATTACGCCCCCGGCGAGAAACATACAGCTAACAATAACGGCGGGTAATAAAACGCGGCGAGGAACCGCGTTGATATAGCGTTCCAGGGTAAACGAAGGAACGGAACGCCTTACGCGGCTGCAAACCGTCGTGATTCATGTTTGCTTTTGTCAGATCGATGATCTCGTGACTCTCGGCCGCGCGCCAATCGATATTTCTCAAAACGCATTCGCGTTACTTTACTGCCGAGGGATTTACCTGGAGACCATTAGGCGAAGGGAGGAGGAGGGGAGGGGGGGAGGGGGGGAGGAAGGTATTCTTGCGTCGAGCGAGCCGTTTACGTTTTATTGACTCGTTCGGTTGTTTTCCGCGTACTTTTTACGTATGAAAAGTGGAAAACGCGCGAAATTGTAAAACGTGTTAATGTCGAGAATAAAAAAATATATTCCGGAATCAAACGCGCGTGTACGCGGAAATATGAAAAATACATTTTCTCCAGGCCATTCGCAGGCAGATCGCAGAAGTATTATTGGGGCGAATATATAAATTTCTTCGTGCAAATATCAAGAGAAACTTTTTATCTTTACATGCTTTTTATTTTGGTTCCGTTTCAACGGTAAAAATGTTATGTAGTAACGGTAACGGTGCGAAATATGTTTTATATTATGTAGTTTAACTAGTTTATGTTTATGTTTTAAAAGCTGTTCTCTTGCATAAGTTTTTTGAATTTTTTTCTTACAATGAATTTATTAAAATCTGGAAAACTGGATGAAGCGGAAGAATACATGAGATTTTTAGCAATGTTTTTGCATTTGTTTATATATATGATGAATAACAATATTTATTCGGCTACATTATTTGAATTAACAATGTACATATATAATATGTTGTATAATATATTGTTTGAATTAACAATATCCAAAATTGGTACATCATTAACATGCGAGAATAAATAAATTATTATTTTATGTTAGTTTTAGAATACTGAAAGAAAGATAATTTTATGCGTTATGTTATTCTATTTTCTCCAATTACATTGATGATTCTTGTTTATTTTTAGAGAATAAATATAGACATTCTTTAATTCAACGTGAATACTGAGTTTTAAGTGAAAGCAATTTGAAACGCAAGGATTAATTTCAATTATAATTTTTGCAATTTTTTTACAATGTTTAATATCCCAATATCCCACAGATATCAAAATTTGTACAAAGTTTGTGTATGTGTTATATCCCACTATAAACGTTGGGGGATTAAAAAAAGACATTTTTTATTTCCTTCTAGTTATTTTTTCATGTTATGGCTTTTAGATTTACACGCGCTGCATTAATAAAGTGCGTCGGGCGAGTGCAAAGAAAACAAATCTGTCGTTTAAACGATCATCGTGGAAAAGTGTTATCTCGTGCTATCAATCACACGTGTAGCAGCTCGATCATTCTACTCGGCGAAGCGGAGTAATTGCCAATCGATTCGTGACAATTTTCCGCGGAAAACCGTCGGAATGGAACTGAGTGTTCGATCGATCGCGCGGGCGGACGAATGCGCGTTGCCAAAATCGACGTGCTGGGAACCCGCTATCGACCTCGCTTGTAATTTCTACGTTCATTCTACGCAGCACCTGTGTGATAATTAAGGAAGCGCGTCACGCGTGAGCGAACGCGCTTACGCGCTAATCGCGCTTTACGCGATTTCCAGCGAAGCGGCGCGCTCGCGCTGATAATCCATCAACGCATCACAGCCCGAGTTCATCACTGATTCGACACGCGCGTGCGAGAACGCACTGCTAAACGAGTCCGCTTTTCCCGCTTGTTCGCCAACAACATGTTTTTTCATGGAATTTCGGAATTTCGGTAGGTCTGGAAATGCGTGGTCTTCGTCGTTATCACGTATCTTCGCCATTTTCACGTTGAAATTTGGAAATTGCTTCGCGTTTGAACTTTTTTTGTCGAAATTGAAAAAAAAAAAAGAGAGGTGACATTTATTAAGTTTTATAACGTAAAGTCAAACAAAA